ACCTTATATGAGAGATGTGTGCGTATTTTTTTTTTAAATATTGGACTTTTGCTAGGGATGCAATTTTATGCGAATAAATTCTTATATTTTGAGGGGGAGGTATCAGATGGAGTGAGTCGAAAAATCCCATATTTACATCAGATCTCGGGTTGAGTGTTAAACAGCATTTAGAGTGTTGAGTGTTGTTGGATCTGTTCTTTTCATTGGATCGTGCAGTTGCCTTAGGTCGTGCGTGAACTACACACCACTAGATGAAACCCGTTAAAGGAACAGGGGGAAAATGAAGAAGCAGAGACTGGTGTCAGGATAAATTCCCAAATTGGAAGTATCCTTAGGCATATGTCTGGGCTTTATTATTTTTCCATATATTGGGCGCCATTTGTTATGCATCATATTTGAATTAGATTTAGTATCGATAAACTAGCTGACACTAAAATTTAAATACAGTCTTACGTCAAATAATCATGCACTGCTTAACATTTTTGAAACGTGTGTAAAAACTTGATTCAAACCCCTGGGAAAATCTAAATTTTTGCCATCATCAGAATGGATTACTCTACCGATTGTCACAACTCTTTTACTCTTGACATTATAAATTATTATTGGTAAGCGATTATTATTAGACGAACTACTAAATATAGCTGTCAATCAGTGTGTTGTAGAAACATGGTTTGCTATGTTTCTAGCCCCCGACTATCCTTCTCCACGAGATGTGATAATAAATTACATTCCCGAATAATTTCGGATGCCGAACTCATGGTGAGAAGTTATTTGATGATGAACAGCGGCTTTGAAGTGATGTGGGGCGTAACGCTGACGTTGTTGTCTGTGGACTTTATATAATTAATCAAATTGTTGCATTTTTTGTTGCTGTTGTTCCTTTGTCTTTTGTCTGTCTTTTTTCAGACACTTTGATTAACTTCTTTTTGGGTTTTAAGCTTTACTTTATTGCCATGGATTTGGTTTCGTTCAGCTTCCAGTTTAATTTTCTATTTAAATTTGAATTTTGTAGCGTAATTTTTTAACGCTACCGAAAATTAGCGGCAGTTGCTAGTGTTTTTTGCGCTGCCGAGGCAACAAAAAATAATAACTTTGAAATTCGTATGTCTTCTTTATTATATTCTTTATTTTTTGGGGAAAATCCTAAAGCTACTGTGCCCATACATACATTTCGGCTTTCGGGGAGGCACAGAAGGTGGTCACATGAAATTTCGATAAACAATTTTAATTTCCTATTTGAAGTCGCATCGGCTCGGACATTCCTCTACGACATTTAACCACATTGAAAGGAATTTTGGAAAAATACGATTTTAGAGACTCGGCTTAACGAAATTGGTGGAAGTCATTAACAAATCATCATCATCACCATCATCACAACACGGCCGAAAGCGAAGGTCGAAGTAATTTTGGTTATTGACGATTCAAAGTTCGAACGAAATAAAATAACGGATGTTTTGTTCGTATCTATAATTAAATTTGTTAATTATGACAGATGCAGGCTGAGAAATCATTTGTGTAAATAAAGACAACATCGTGATGGCAATGCAGCCACAGCTAATGAAAAATATTGTCAAGGGGAGTTGGATGTTGAAATGAATAATTTTTGGAAAGTAAAATAAATTTAACAAGTGAATGTCAGTTAGTGCATGAATGCATTCAAATTTTATGGTATATTTCGGAAAAAATTGATACGGAAAAATTTAAAATGGCTCATAATAAATGGGTTAGAAAAATGAAGTCTTTTTTTCATCAACGGGAAGTGTGTAAGGGTAAAATAACTGACTGACTGAGCGGCTGACTGAAAATTAAAGCCCAGAAACCAGAATCTTAAATTTTGTGCAAGGGTCAGTCTTGGTGCGTAGGCGTGTGATAAGGCTGGGTTTTTGAAAATTCGTATTAAGAGGATACGAAAAATACTAAAATATACTAACAATTTAATACTTTGCATTGGGTAAACGGAATGAGTTAGAATTCTGAAAAACGGAATGAGAGTCATTGATGGATTGCAGATGGATATATAGATGTACCAGAGTTGTTTTGAAAATTCGAACTTTAAGGTTAAAAAAAGTTCTAGAATAATCTTTTAATAAGGTACCATTTGTTATTATATGAACGGATGGAGCAAAGAACTTGAATTTTGGGTTAGGAGGTTGGAAAGAAGGCTTGATATATGAAGGTGGTTTCAGAAACGTGCACTATGTGAGTGGACTGTATTAAATGATACTAACTTTGGAAAAGTTTGGTTTAGGGTAAACGGATGAAGCTGGGATTTTGGAGTTTTGTATAGGGGTCCCAGTTGGTGATACGTTTGTGGGTTTGCAAATGTACACAACAAATACACGAAAAGTACTAAACAGTATTATATTTGGTACAATTTGGTATTGGGTGAACAGATAGTGCTTGAAATCTAAAATATGGCGGTAGTATCGCTGTTTATATGTAGCCTGGACATATGGAGGTGGTTTGTAAAATGTGTACCATATTTGTACGAAAGGCACTATTTGGTGTTGGGAGAAGGGATAGGGAAAAATATCTGAAATTTCATATTTATATTATTGATGGTATCTGGTTTAGAGATTAGGCGGTGGTTTGGAAATGCGTCCTATATTTGTACAAAAATTATACTGAATTTTTTATTGGGGTAAGGGAAGCGGCTGGAATCCTCAAATTTCATATTGTGGTTGTTTTGGAAATGTCTACTACAATTTTACAAAATGTACTAAATGGTACTACATTTGGTATTGGGTGAAGAATTAAGGTGAGGGTACATAGAAAGCTTGACATCATTGTTAGGCATATTAATGTTACGACGGCAAAATTCGAATGCGGCTCTGGCATCCCTTTATGGTATGTCACAAAATCTGCCATGCGAAGACTTCAAGACTTCATTTATGTACTTACAACTGAAATTTGTATGGATGTCACTGTTGGTGTCTGTGGTTGATTTAATTGTACTAAATGGTACTTAATATGGAAATGTAGGTAATTATAGAGCTGTTGGTGTCGGTGTATGAGCTTTGGCGTTGGTTTAGAAATACGTCCTATATTTTTACGAAAATTGTAAATGGTACTAATTTTGCTATTGGATAAAGGGATAGAGCTGAAACCTTGAAATTTAAAATTGAAGCTTTGCAAATGAATACTATAATTGTACAAAAAGTACTTAATAGTACTAATTTTGGATCACGGTTGGTGTCTGGGAAAGAGATATGTATATTCTTTTGGATATGCGTACTAAATGTTACTAATTTTGGTATGAAGTGAAGTGATGGAGCTGAAATATGAAATATTGAGGTCACTGTTGGTTTCTAACATTTAAATATTGAGATTTACATATAGTTTTGGACAGAAAAAATTGTTGTGGGCCCATTGTGCAATGGTTTTACTAATATCCTCCTCGGAAATTTGAAAATGAAATATTTTGAAGATTTTTGGTGCAAAAGGTAAACATTTTCCCATTATTCTTTCCAAAAGTTCTATTATTCTTTCCAGAAAAAAATTCCGAAAATGAAAATGAACACCTTTATATGGAAGCTATACGAAGATGTGGACCTGCATACGAAATATTTTGTCATAAGCTGTAGTGCCCATTACGAACTTCAAATATGAAATTTGTTACAATTACGCTGAATAATACGGAGCATCGGGGGGTACCGTCATATGGAGGCTATACGAAGATGTGGACCTGCATACGATTTTTTTGCCATAAGTTGTAGTACCCATTAAGATCTTTCAATCTTTCAATTTGAAACGTTTCCGGTGAATAATGTTGCTGAAATCGTCAAAATACCGACTATCGGGAGGTACCGTTACATGGGGGCTATACGAAGACGTGGACCTGCTGTAGTACCCATTACGAAGTTCAAATACGAAAAAATTCCTGTAAATAATGTCGCTAAAATCATAAAAACAATCAATAAAAATACGAAAATCTGAACCTGCATACAAACATTTTTGCCATAGGTTGTAGTACCCATTGGGATCTTCCAGTACCAAATTTGAAACGATGCCGGTGAATAGTGTTGCTGAAATCATCAAAATACCGAATATCGGGAGGTACCGTTATATTGGGGCTATATGAAGACTTGGATCTGCATACAAACATTTTTGTCATAGGCTGTAGTATCTATTTCGAACTTCAAATAATGAATATTTCGAGGAGTTACAAACGGAATGACAAAGTTAATATACCCTCCATAGAATGGTGGAGTGGCCTTTTCGTTGGCGATGTAGCGAGCGCTTTATTATTTTGACCTGCGTTGTGGTTATTCAAAATTTTGAACCTTAATGGGTCCATTTCGCATCTAGTATTGAGATTTACGATGTTGGAAATTTGAAGACAATGTGACTCTTGTTTCTCATTTTATAAGAGTTATGATTATTCAAAACTTAATTAATTACTTAATCACAACTTAATATTTCAGAACTTAATTATTTGAGGGGGAGATACCGGAAGGAGTGTGACGATATTGTTCATTTTCGCACCTGACCTAAGGCTGATACAAACATTAGGATTTGCAATGTTTGAAGAAAATCAAATGATCTTCCTCTTACTATGAGGTAAAATATTCCTAGAATTTTGATCTTTTGTTGTGGAGGTACCAGAAGGATGGAACCGATATTTCTCATACATCTTAGAACGAAATCGGAATTGAAGAGATTACATATTCGAGAGTTATCATGCGCAACAACTAGCCAGACAAATGTCTTGAAAGTGATTTCGTCCAAAGAAAGCTGGGTGAAAAATCTTTATTTCGATGAGGCATACTTTGGACGAATCAAATGACATATACCCTGATATTCCATAATTTTGAGGTAACGTACACAATTGACCCTCTAAGAAAGATTTTGATTTAAAATTAAAAAGACGATACTTTTTCTATTATAAGCTCCCCTTTTGCCATTCTGTCTTCAATCATTGAAAAGGTAAATATTCTGGAGTCTAAGAAGTCAATTATTTAGTTCTATTTTCTTAAAACTAAATATTTCTTTTCAGAATATGCTCTAAATTACCAATTTTTATTGAATTTAAAATCAGGACTATATATGTCAACACTTTTCGCCCCAAAACTTGTGTATTCTGAATTTTCTTATTATTTCGCATTCATTGGACATATCACTTCTCTTACATTCTTTGAGTTAGTAATTTAAGAGATTTTTCTCCTCCCCTCTCTTCATTTAATCACTCTTTCAATTATCGACTCTCTGTTCTCTTATTTCAGAAACAAAATCACACTCAAGGCTAAGTGATGATGACTCTATTGAAGATTTTGTCAAGCTGTGCCCTTAATGGCCAAATGAACGTGTAAACAGCGGGACACACAAGTTCATAAATTTTAGCTCCTTTTGTAGACGGGCGGGACTGGATTCTGTATATTTTCAAAACATTTCGGTTTGTGTACGCAACTCTTGACGAAAACCAAAAACAACAATAACAGAGGCTATGATTGCCGAAGCAAGCACCATCTTGGCGAAGACAAGAACAACTCGTGTTTACTTCGCGTTGGGACACTTGGCACATTGAGGACCTCGTATGTCAGTTGGCAATGATGTTTGTGCTGTGTGTCCGTTGTTGCGTTCTAAATTGACATGTCAAATGCTCGTGATCATAATTTTGAAAGCGACTTGCTGACTGATTGTCTTTTGAGCATTGATGATGACTGCCAAGGCCATCGCGATCATTAACAGATGATTGTTTCCGAGGATTGAAGGTCATCAGAGGGAGAAAAAAAGAAAAATAAAAGGATATGAAAATGAGATATGGAAAAATTTGAAAATACCTTCAAACAAACATGCATATGCATGTATCAACGTATATTCACGTACCCAGACACCACCCATTGAAAAAATATGACAGCCGTTACTCTATAAACGTCTTGTTGTTGCCACATATCCTTGCTCCTTGTTTTTATCCAGACCGTTATTGTTGCTGCCAGCCAAATCAGATGTTTTGTTATCTGTCATTGTTGATTTGGTGACATGACATTTCTTTCTTTTTGTCCATACACACATTCGATTGTAATCGATTTGAGATGCCTGGCAGGTCCTCTTAATTTGTTTCATTGACAGATTTTTACAGTAGTGGTCCCACTGTTTGGCAGCGATACAGCTTCCAAATGGATTCGCTTGCAATTAATTAAATCGGAGCGTATAAAGAAAGACAATACAATTGTGTTATTAGTTTTAAGCAGAACATTCAATAGCAATTAAGTCAAGGTTAATCAGCAAGCTGAAATGAAGATAAACAATGACAGTGGAAATGAGACGATTTTTCTTTATTTAAATTTAAATATATGATCAAGAAGTACAACAGGAGCAAAATTGCATTGCTGGTAGCCGAAAAATTAGGGAATTTCAAATGCAAAATTTTCATGTAAAAATCAAATAAATTTTGTCAACTTCGATAGAACTCACCTGTTACATTGATTTCGTCCCAAACTTAACTTCAAATTTCCGTTATTACCTAAAATGTAATCAATTGAAAAATCGACGTTCGTTGTACAAAATACACTATTGGTTGTAGTAGCATCTTTTCCGGACAATAGCAAGTAAGATCCTAGCGAAATCCTTGAATTTCAGATCCTAGGGAAATCCTTGAAATAACAACGTACACACCACTATTTATACTTGGGAAAAAATTAACAACATTTGAATTGATCAATATAAAATCTAAGCAAATTTTTAACAGAGATCTTATTATCAAATCTAAGAATTCCAGCCCTATCCCTCCACCCAATACGAAATGTAGTACCATTTTTTGTACTTATCCTTCAAAAATATTTGCGCATTTTCAAACACCATTTCCATTCCAAATCTCAAACACAGATACCAACAGTGACAAAATTCAGGATTTCAGCTGTGTAATTTCCCCCCTTTACCAAATTTAGTACATATTTATATATGCAAAAAGCAGCGCCTTATCTCAACCACAGACACCAATAGTGACATCCATAACAAATTTAAGGATTCTAATTGTATCCCTTCACTCAATACCAAAATTAGTACAATTAAGTACTTTTCGTACAATTATAATACCTATTTCCAGAAACACCTTCATATCCCAATTCCAGATACCAACAGAGACCTCAATTTCAATTTTGAGGATTCCAGCCCTGTTCCTCCAACCAATACGAAATTTAGTACTCTTAGGACGGTTTTCAAATCAACCGCCAAATCTTAAACGCAGTGACCTTATTATTATTCCCCCATTACCAAATTTAATACCATTCTTTTTTCAATCACAAACACCAACAGAGACATCCACATCAAATTTCAAGATTTCAACTCTATTCCTTCACCCAATACCAAATTTAGTACCTTTCGTACAATTACAGTACACATTTTCAAAAAGACCTCCATAGCTCAATTATAGATACCAACAAAACCTAAGTATTAAACTTAAGGATTCCAGCCCTATCCCTTCTCCTAATACGAAATTAAGTACAATTTAGTACTATTCGTCCATATACAGTACACATTTCCAAAAACGCCTCCATATTTCAATTCCAGATTTCAACAGAGACTTTAATATAAAATTTGAATATTCTAATACCAAATTTAGTACCATTTAGTACTTTTCATACAAATGTATATTTGCATTTCTAAACCACCGCATTTTAAACCACCATTAAACCCAGATACCGTCAGTAATTTAAATATCATATTTCAGTATTTTAATCCTGACCCTTCTCCAAATACCAAATATAGTACCATTTAATACATTTCGAACAATTATTATTATTATTTCCGAAACCACCTCTATATGCCCAGGCTACAAATGAACAGCTAGCCTAATAAAAATTTTTGAGTATGCTAACACTATCTGTTCTCCCAATACCAAATTTGCGTAAAATTGTAGTACACATTTCCAGAAACACCTCTTTATCACAAACCTATCACCAACATGGACTCCGACACAAACTTTCAAAATGCAGCATCATCCACTCAACCTAAAGTAAACTGTTCCAAATTTAGTAGCATTTAGTTCAGTTCGCACACTTAGTGTACATCTACGAAACCACCTTTATATATTAAACATACTTTCCGACATTGATTCGCATACAAATTTTCCAAAATTTTAGCTCTTTCCGTGCATGTAATACCAATTTGTACTATTTTAGAAGTTTAGTACCATTTTAGAACTTTTCATAACCTTAAAGTTCAAATTTCCAAAAAAATGCCCAAATAATTTCAAAATTGTTTTAGTACTTTTCGTACCCTTTTAGTACGAATTTCCAAAAGCCCAGCTTTATCACACGTCTACGCGCCAAAACTGACCATCGTGCAAAATTTCATGCTGTTTCGTCCGGGCGTTCATTATCGGTCACTTATTTCACTACTAGATTTTCAAATCCACCTCCTTATCTAACTAAACACTCGCAAGTAATACAAAAATTCATAATCCCGACTTTATTCTATATTTTAATCCGAATTTGGTACATTTCGTACATCATATAGCACGCATTTCCAAAAATAGTCCATTGTCTAACCCACAGTGGCCCTTGTGAGAAAAGTCATAAGTTCAACTCTGTTCCTACACTTTCTATCCATTTTAGTACTCTTTTATTCAGCCCTGCCCACCAGCTGTGCTCCAATAATACGATTTTAAATTTCCAGTCAAAAAAAAAAATTCTACCAAATATAGTTCCATTTAAAGAGTGATTTTTTAGTTATAACGTTTTTGGCAACACTGGTTTGAAAAGCTCACGCACGTTTCGTTTTTTGTTTGCATGCGAAACACATTTCTGGAATATTTTGACTTGTTTGCAATCCCATTTTAAAGGAGTTTATAACCATATTTTGAGAAACGAATTCAAACAAGTAAAAAACAACTAAGTTCGGCCGGTCCGGACTTTTTATACCTTCCACCATTCGGAAGGAGCTTGAAAAATTAAAAAAAAATGTGTCAATAATTCCGTTCAAATTAAAGCCTTCATATTGGTCCTTCGAGGGATAAACACACGTACAGTACGGCTTTAACCCTTAAAGGTGTTTTCATATTTGTGAATTCCTGGCATTTAGGAAATATCTAGGCTTTTGTTGTTCTCTGAGACCCATATTAGAATCTTATGAGGAGTTAAATGGAGTTTTTAATCATGTTTTGAAAAAAGAATCAAAAAGGTCCTTTTGGTGACTCATTTAAGGATTAAAGCTTTCTACCAAAAACAAATTCTCGTATTGTCTTCCGTAATATTGCAAAAGACACTACATAGCTATAATAAAAAGATTCATAGGAATTGTAATACGGATCCCATTTAAAAGTAGCTTTTAGTCATATTTTCCTAAAGGACCTAAAAGAGCCTGACCAAAATAATCCTCCTCCATTGTTATCAGTAATACGGCCAAAGACACTACATACCTAAAATCTTATGTTTGGTCTATGATCGAATCTTGAATCGTTTTGCGTGCTCTTTAAAAAAGTTCATCTACTTCCATTTTATGATGACAGCCTAGATTATGAGATTCAACGCCTTTAGGTTTTTTTGTGGGGCTATGTTAAAGTTTATGTCTCTACATGCGTACCCGCTGCAATGGACGTATTTGAAGACAACATTAAAGCATTTATTCATGAGATCGAAATGTTGGAAGGAGTATGTCAAAATTGGACTAAGCGAATGGACCATTTCAGGTGCAGCCTGTTGTATAAAATAATCTTCAAACATTAAATTATATGGATTGTACTATCATCATTAATCATTAATTTTTAGGCTTAAGTACAGTTTATCTATATCTATAAAAGAGGAAAATGTTTGTATGTTTGTAATTTATGGACTCGAAAACTGCGGCGCAGATTTTCCTGAAAATTTCCTAGTATACTACAACATTGCCTGAAAGTAACATAGCTATATAAATATTTGAAATTCCACTTGGAACTGGAGATATAGCATAAGAATCGGAAGTACCTCCCAAAAATTAGGAATTGATATGAACATATCTATTGATCGATTACACATACAGTCTCCAAATTGGGAATGAGTGAGGGGAATTGATCCGAAAATATATTTGCCAAATTATATGAAAATCGGTTCAGATTTTGATATAGTTCCGATATATATTTTCGACCGATTTCGTTTATTTGATGCACCAAACACGATATGTATGTACGATTCCAATGAAATTTGAAATGTGTGATGGATTTTATCTAAAAAAAATTGTTATTGAAATATTGAGATCGGTTCAGATTTGGATATAGCTCCCATATACAGTTTCGACTGATTTCATGTATTTTGTGCACCAAACACGATATGTAGCTCATATCTCCAACATTTCAATTAAATTTGAAACGTGTGATGGAATTTGTCTAAAACATGTGGTTGCTTAATTTTATTGAGATCGGTTCAGATTTGGATATAGCTCTCATATATATTTTCGGCCGATTTAACATCATATGTTTGATTCACCAAACACCATACATATGTCCGATTCCAATGAAATTCGGACACAGAGAAGAAATTTGGTACCACAAAAAATTGCCCAATTATATTGAAATCGGTTGAGGTTTGGGTATAGCTCGCATATATATATTTTGGCCGATTTCATATATGTTATACAACAAACGCGATATGTATGTCCGATTCCAATTTAATTTAGAATGTGTGGCAGCATTTGGTTACAATAATAAATTTGGTAAATTAATTATAAATCGGTTAAAATTTGGATATAGCTCCCATATATATTTTCTCGGCCGATTTCACATATTTGATGCACTAAACACGGTATGTACCTCCAATTTCAATGAAATATGGAAGGTGTGACTAAATTTGGTGTAACAGTAAATTTTGTCAAATTATATTGAAATTGGTTCAATTGGGATAAGATTTTATTAAGAACCATCGACCCACAACGTCTTTGCAATGGCATTAAGTTAACAGTAAAAAATTACACAAAAATTTAATTGAGGATACGATTATTACGGGGAAGTAGTTTGCTACCTCGAATTCACTAATTGCAACAGAAATGCCACTCAACTTCTAAAGATTGCAGTTTCCTGCACGCTTGGCATTTGCTATGAAAAAAAGAAGGACAAGCCCTATGCAGACTATATTTGGCATGTTCCTGCTTTTCTCATGGTCAGTTGTTCCTGGCATGTTCACGCGTTGGTAGACCGAGCTATTTTTGTGTTTACACATTAAAGTGTTGCAATAATTACGTTTTTTTTTTAATTTTTGAATTTGTTTTACTTATTTTTTCAACCAACAAATATTCATATATAAAATTGTGAATGCATATAAAAGCGAAAGGAGTAGCGAAGCGAGCCATGTTCAGCTAGTACTTAGTATACATTTCCAAAACTATCTCGTTATATCAACTTAGCTTTCCAAACTTA